TTTGACATGTGCCACACAATCACGTGTCCCTTGGCATGGCAATTATTGGAACCTGTTGAAGCTGTGTTGTCAACTACACCCTATCAGAACTGAGATCTTTTTGTCCACAAGAAAGAAAATAAAGTTCAAAATTCAAATTACCTGGTACTTGTATCTTGTCAAAGTATTGTCACTCAACTAATAAAATAAATATGACATATCATAATTCCAAATGAATAACTAACTTAAACCTTTTAACATGGTTTTATCTTACCGATCCGTACCGATGTACCGATCGGTTATTGGTACGGTATGTACCGAACCATACTAATGTACCGACAAACGGTATGGTGGGGCATACCAACAAATCGATATGTACTGCCCATATCGGTCCCCTATTGGATTGGTACATATTGCCCGTACCAAGCGATATGTTACGATACGACGAACCTTGCCTTTTAGTAGGAACAGAAATAGTAGGTAAGGCAACAAAAGGACCTTGAAATCTTGAAGTTTTATGAGATTTTTCTGCCATGAACTCTTGATCTGCTGCCAATTGCCAAGGGTGTTTTAAATCCCTTGTTATGGCTTATATGGAACCAACATGATATTTAATATGTTTGGAAAACATGGCTATTGATTTGAAAAAACAAATGTCATTGTTCCTGTAAAAGGATTGTGAGTGATTCTGTACAACCAGATGGTTTATAAGAAATCAGCAATTATATACCTGAGGCATTTTTTTTAATCAAGATGTTTGTCATTTATCTGGTCTGGTCTCTTTCAATTTCAAAGGCATTTTCATGTATTGTGGATATGGAAAATAGTGGAAGCAGCAGAATCATTGCTTTCTTCTATTGGAAGTGCTTCTTATTGTGTCTCTATAATCAGTGATTATTCTGAAGGTCTCTCTCTATGTTATTTAGCCACACTTAATATCTGATAAGAATTTATATAGGGATGTAACTGTTGAAAATCTCATATCCAGTAAATTTTGCTCATTAGTGTATTGTGTTTTGCAGTTTATGACTGAAATGAAAGAGACAGCATTCCTTATGCAAAATGTTTCTCCAAAGTATATTCTCTGTAGTGATTGCTGTCAACAAATGTAACATTTTTCCCGAAAATTCATCTTATGGTTTTCTTTCATTCTATAGAAGCCTGATTGTTATGGATGAACTTGGAAGAGCTACTTCTTCTTCGGATGGGTTTGCCATTGCATGGAGTTGTTGCGAGCATCTGCTGTCTCTCAATGCGTAATTGCTAGCACCAACCATCATACTACCTTCTGTTGGTTTCCTTTGTTTATTGGATAATGATATGCACTGTTAATTCCTCTGAAGAAAGACTCCTCGTTGATGATTGGCTGGTTTTGTTTTTTCCACATGCTTCAAGTTATTTTTATAGGTTCCTTGTGCTGATATAGTAGTTCTCTGGACATTGGTTAACAGGAATTAACACTTTTCCATGTTTTTTCTTTTTTTCATGCATATGCTTCCTACTTGTTTGGATTTTTGGTTCTCCTTGGATTTTACATAATTGTCTTGAGCTCTGCTGCTTCATCAGGTACACCATATTTGCTACACATATGGAAGGCCTGTCTGAAATGGCAACCATTTATCCAAATGTGAAGATACTCCACTTTGAAGTGGACTTAAGGAACAACCGCTTAGATTTTAAGGTGACTATCTGGTAGTTTAATTTTACCAGAATTTCATGATGACTCCATTGTGTGTACCAAATCTTTTGTTGGTCATCAGTTCCATCTCAAGGATGGTCCACGCCATGTGCCACATTATGGCCTTCTTTTGGCTGGAGTGGCTGGTCTACCAAGTTCTGTGGTTGAAACAGCGAGGATCATTACAGCAAAGATTGCAGAAGAGGTAACAATCTTATTACTATGTCATTGTTGAAATGTTATTATGAACTTTAATGCATTACACCGCCGTCTTCTACTGGAGAAGAAAGCATAAAAAGATGTCAGGTCATCTAAAAAGGTTTCAAGCACTTAAATACTTTTTTTTCATATTTATGTTAAAATCAGTAGTTGTTATGCTTTTTTATATACTATATACTAATCAAGAGAGTGCTGTAACTTCGGCATGCCTATAATTTTTGTTAGGATGTGAAGAGGATGGATATAAACCGTGAGCAATTTCATTCAATTCAAGTGGCATACCAGGTTGTCCAAAAGCTTATCTGCTTAAAATACTCCAACCAAAGTGAGGATTATATTCGACAAGCTCTGCAGAATCTTAAGGAGAACTTCACGAACGAAAGGTCAAATTGATGTCGCATATAAAAGTTGTGTGATACTATCAGTACTTTGTTATGTAGGTTTTACAATTTCTTCCATTTTAGTCATTGGCTTTTATATCAGAAGATGCTACTTTGCTTTTTTTTTATTGGTAACTAGTAGTAGTCTCACAAATATGTGTTGTGTATTTACCATAATCTGTTCATCCTGGTGAGTGCATTAAGTTGGGTACACTCTGTTCATCTCTAGGTGACAGTATTGCACTAGTTTTATAATGGTTCACATGGTTATCTGGAGTAAATATATCTTCAAATTAACTTTTTTAATAGTTTTCAGAAGATTAAAGCAAATTATTCATAGTGGATACAAACACTATAATAAAGATTTGATTGTGATTTTTAAATCACATAAATTCTTAAATGTTGCTTCATTGGACCGATTTGTTCCAAACACTTGTAGAGCTGGTGTTTTAGCAGTTGATTGAGGCAATTTCTTGGCAGGATTCTCAATTTCTGTTCTAAATATACACTTTCGTTTCTTTGGAAAATCATTCTGTATATATTTAGTAACGTAGTTCTTTTCTTTTCTGGTATTATAATTATATTATTATGCCTGTACAATCAATTCTCCTATGCTATTTGTAAATATTGTTCCATCAGAAATTTTTTATGGCTTATTTGGTTGATTTAAGCCCTTGATTGACTATGCAATTCATCAAAAATTGTCCCAGGAATTGATTAAGCTGGAATTATTAGCTGACCGTCGTTAAGATTAAAAAAGTTCATAATATAATAAGGATTTGATGTGTTACTGGTTTATACTAGATTGCGAAACACAATAGTTGTCTTGTTACACTGAAATTTCTTTATGACAGTGAATTGGGATATATTTGACCTGTGAATTTTCTGTTTTTTAGCTCTTGGAAATGTGTTAGAACATCAGGTCTGATCTCTTAAGTTGATCGAGCTTAACCAATTAAATCGCTTTGTTTGACCATCCTACCATATAGGATTTGAACCAACCCTAATAAGATTTAACCTCACACACACAATTCAGGTCCAGTCTTATGTCGGATGCTACCTCTCTTAAGCCTCTATGAGTTTTGGAATATGATGATAGATTTATTTTGCCTGCATTTTTTTAGAAGTTATGTAGTATGATGCTGTGTGTATATTAAGTGTCATATCTTATGTTGAATGAGTAATTCGTCTGTGCTTCCCATAGAACAATTAAATTTTTTTTAATGTGATACATAAAATTGACTGTGATCATTGTACATATTAGTCCATTCATTTTAGCGAAACGATTGATCGGTTCCTAACTTTATCGTTATCAATATTCTGGCATCAATATTTGCCGTGCTCCTATCAGTGGATTTGAATCGTAAATATTTTCTCTATGCTTGTAGTAAATATTTCTCAACAAATTTCTTCTGATTTTTTTATTCATATGCTAATTGAAGTCACTGTCATCATCTCTTCGGTTGGAAGTGCTGAATGAAAGTCCTTCCAACTGTGGGAATACATTAGGATCATGATTGTTGCGTATCCATCGTGATTTGGTGGTGCCACCCACCATCCCCATACCAACCGAACATTTAGATGCATGGTAAATTCTAACATGATTTACAAATTATGTATATTGTTCTGATATCATTTTTAATCACATTAAAAATCATCTGGATGAAGAGTGATTCGTATACTAATCAAAATTAGTTCACATTATGTAAGACTTTTGAAGTATTGCATTTACGATTCGGATCATCTGAAGCCAGATAGAAGATAAGATTTCTTTAACTATACGAGGAAATCTCTTTGAGAAAAATTCTCCTTGAGGAAAATTTTTTCTCCTAATCTTAGGAAATGGATAGGTTAATGTATTTAAGTTTTTTCACTTATTCAATAAAGTTTTTTCAATAATTATTTTTATCTTCTATTATTTTCATCATGGTATCAAAGCAATGAAAAAAGTGAAGCTTCGCTCTTACCTTCGTCTAGCAACCAACGCCACTAAGAAAAACAAAGTTTCGCCCTTGCCTTCGACCAACGACCAACGTCGCTGCAGCCAAATTTCTAAGAGGTTCCATGGCCAATCCTCATCTTCCTCACTGCGATAGTCTTCGTTGATCTGCCAACAATCGACGGACTTAAGGAGAACGAATGGCAGACTTAAGGGGAACGAAAGGAACGCTTGTGCCCTCACAGCAACAGCAATCGCAGTAGCAGCAACGATCTGCTCTTGCTCTACTCACGACTCTCGCTCGTAAATCATTTTTTGCATCGTTCCAAGATTGGTATCCTTGACAGGAGCATCATCTTACAAGGGCATGATAGAAGATAATATTTCCCCAACTATATGAGTATATTAAGAGAGAGACATGTTAATGTATTTAAGCTTTTTTATTTCTTCTTCAATAAAGCTTCTTCAATAATTGTTCTTATCTTCTATTATTTTCATCACTTATCAAAATTAACCTACTAAAATTAAATGTCATCCGTTAGTATTTAACATGTGTGTTTTAGGATGAGTGGTAAATCATAATCTAACTAAAATCTTAGCTAAATTTTCATGTTAGACTGTTTTGAAATATTACAGTGACGCTTCAATTCATTTAACAAAGCTGCTCGTCAGAAATAATCCCGCTAGAATTAAATGTCATTCTTTAGAAGAAACAAAAACAGAGCTTCTCCTTGTGGTCTTTGGATACTCATAACAGTTGCAGGAGATTGATTGTCCAAGGAGGCATGAGGCACCTGATCTCACACCATGTCATTAACTAAGAAAAGATTAGATATCATTTTTGTGATTGTGTGACAGTGAAAGACTTGTCTTTTTTTTTACCCACATTTTCTCGAGCTTCCAACTTATTTCATGGATAGTTTCTGCTATCTCAAAGCATATTAGAGAGAGAGAGAGAGAGAGAGATACTGTTAGACATAATTATTAAATCAAGATTGCTTTAATTAAAAAACGGTTAGGAACTAAAACCGGACGCTGGTAGTTAATTAAACTGTTTTTTATCCATATTAATAAAAATAACATTAATATGTTTATTCTTTTTTTTGTCGATAATTTAATTTATAAGCAGGCAACCTTTTATTTATCAAAGCATATTCTTTTATTATTTTTTGTTTATTCTTTACTTTAATAAAAATAACATTGGATATTTTTTTATCGGTACTTTAATTTATTTTTATCCATATTAATAAAAATAACATTGAATATGTTTGTTCTTTTATTTATTTTTTGTCGGCACTTTTAATTTATAAACTTAATTTTTTGTCCATATTAATAAAAACTGTTGCTTGTTTCTATTTATAGCCCATTAACAATTTATATCAATTGAGTTAATTAATAACTTAAATAAATAATTCTGAGAATCCAAACAGCACAGGGCATTTGGTCTAGTGGTATGATTCTCGCTTTGGGTGCGAGAGGTCCCGAGTTCGATTCTCGGAATTCCCCTTTTTTATATATATTATTTATATGGTGGAAAGCTGAGTGATCTTACCATTTTACTAGATAAAATGTGATGAATAATTGATTGATGGAAGAAAGACTTATGACTCTTTACATTATAGCCACACTGGTCCCACTTTTAACTGAGTCCATAAGACAATTCTCCACCTGAACATGGTGAATGTGGAGAAATAAAATATACTATATCCTACTTACTTTGTCCCACTTCAATTAAACCCACAACAACAAGAATCCCTACACAGTGTGGGTAAAGGAGAAAGAGTCCAACTCTTTATTCTTCCAATTCATCATCCTAAACGTATCTTTCTTTCTATACCTCATAATACCATTCAAATAATATTATTATTATTAATTATACGATTGTTCCTTAAAAAAAAATAGACCATAAAATGGGGCTTATGAAAAGATAACCTTACATTCACCTTTAACCATTAAAAAATTAGAATTTTTTTTTCTTTTAATGTTCGAATATCATATGAAAAAAATAAAATCCATAACTAGTATAGAAATACTTAGTTCAACTAGAAGAATTGGGATATACATAACGTAGTAGTAGTAGTGTAAAATGAAAGCCATGATGAGGAATTTTCAACAGTTTATAGCATTTATCTTCACACAAAAAAAAATTATTTCAAAAACTTATTCTTCAATGTGTGTGTGCTTCTTAATTTTCTAAGGATAAGATTGAGGGATTAGAGGGACAAAATATGGCATTTGAGAGTTAATATACAAAATTGACTTGAATTTGTGCTTTATTTATTTATTTATTTGTTTATTTATTTTCCAGCTATTTTATGTATATATGCCAAAGAAACACTTCGACATCACACTGGGCTTCAAGCTGTCAACCAGCAGCCTTTTGATCCAAAATCTCAAAACCCAAAAAGGGGAGGAGAAGGAAAAGAAGAAAAAGAGAGAGAGAGAGAGACAGAGAAAGGCAGCAAAAGAAAAGGAAAAGCCCTAATTTTGCTGTCTTTGTTGTGAGATTCGTGGATTAGGCGGAGGAGGAGGCAGCAGAAGAACCCTACCTTTTTTGGTCGTCTCTCTTTTGTTTTTATCTTGTCTCTATCGCCATAGATTCGGAGGGGGAAGGTGGAATAAGATGAGCGATCTTGATAGTCGCTGACTTGTTTTCGTCGTGCTGAGCAGCGACGGCCTACTGCTCGCCAGCAGCCATGGCCAAACGGGTTTATCAAGCTTGGAAAGGGAACAATGTAAGATTCGGGTTGTTTGATATTGTTATTGTTTTCATTTACTTCTTTACACGGTGATTTTCTGATTTTTTTGGTGGATGTGGAAAATCTTGGATTCGTGGGGGTTTGGTTGTTTCGGTGGATTTAGGGTATTGGTGTTGGGTTCTAGTCGATTGGATGTTTTGCAAAGGTTTTCGTGGGCTGCAATGCTCAAAAGGAGAGTCTTTGAGGTTGCCTGGCGCCTACATTTAGGTCTTTATTCGTGTTGTGAGCTGGTCTAGGAGTGTTTACTAGAACTGGAGCTTTAACCCGGACCAACGTCTTTCAGCATTGGAGCGATCGAGCGCGATGGGAGTGACCCGTTTGGGAGATGCTGGGGTTTTTTTTTTGTGCTTGAATTTTTACATGGCAAAAATATCAAAGCATGTTAAATCGATCATAAAAATAATCCAATTCGATTTATTTTGTTTCTACCACGTGAGTTCCTACTCCGTTCTGAACAAGTGTGTTAGTGTTATATATAGCGACTTATTTTACTTGGCCATTCAATTTCAACAATTGTACACCGC